GATTTAACACCAGAGGTGCTGTTGATGATTTAGTGCGTCCTACTCTCTCGCTAATAAGTGGTGGCAGCGGCAGCAAATTGTTCCCACTAACATTATCAAGGTTAGGCTAACTCCTGATCCGTGCCATGGTACTTTCTCAAATCTACTACACTAGTCCCACCAAATGGGCCAAAAAGATGTTTCATCGAAATTTCTTCTGCGACGAAATACCTTTCACTCAAAGTCATTCTTCGGTTTTTAATTAAGAAAATCAGGATTTTGTGCCAACGCTGGATAGAAAATATCATAGGCGCAAGTGAAGGAATCAACACCATCGAATTCAAATTGAATCATACAAATTGAAACCATACCGAAATTTAATCGACATCACAACTTGAGAACATAAAGACACTATGCCAAAGTTTAATCGACGATGTAGTACCTAGGATAGAGATACACATCGAAATTCAATCAACGACACAAATTGGAAAGTGAGCTAAGGAAAGATAAAGTGCAATATAGGAAAGCTATAAATAAAGAAAACTTTATGTTTGATTTGTGTAGGGGGTCCATTTGAGGTAACTGTCTTTTGACGGTTTCCTATAATCTCAACCAACTTCGCATCCATGTTCTTGAATGGTTGCCTTTGTTGTATGTGAGTTGTTCTGCGATGGTTGTTTTCAAGTGATAACTGTCCCCTCCAAAATGCATGTCTGTGACCCAATTACCCATCAATTTCAAGTTTCGAAATGGTGTTTTAATCATTTACTGCCGAGGCTCATATCAGTGGCCATCGATTATCCATCACCGTATTTCGACAACAGGAAACGTGGCATTGAAGAGTACCAATGTCGATTAACACATGGTACTCTATGTCTATCGATGAGTCGGTATATGTGCAGTGACACTCATATGCCATACACGTGTCTGTTCTTACTCACGCACAAGGCACGTGCTTATCAATGCCGGGATTATTTTGGTGTCAACACAAACTTAATCCAGAACATTCATTTTTAAACAAGAATGCTCGGCATTACTATAGGTTGTCAAAGTACCAGAAATAGGACGTAAGTAAATCACTTCCAAAAGTAATGGCATTTCCGATAACCATGCTACCAAAAATACTTCCAAGTCTAGCCAATATGATCAGGATTCTACTGATTGATGATGTTTCGCCAGAAATGCTCCTGCGACGAAATATAATTCACCGAAAATTGTTCTTCGATTCTTAATGAAAGGAGACCGAGTTCTGTGGCTAACTCCGGACAGAGATATCCAGGCATGAACAAAAAGCTTGTTTATTTTGATCAGTAACACGGGTTTGTACCGCGACGAAATTTGGCTAATAGGAGCTTCAAACTTTATAAACAATTCAGACAAATCCATCTAGCTACTGACTAGCAGCATCCGAACTCCATCAATGCAACATTACAAAGCTATTGTGCTTACAACGTAGATGACTATAGCTATGGAAATTAAAAGTGCAGTATTGGAAAAGTAAAGATAATTTAAAGACAGCATTTTGATGTGTGCTCGCGGGAGGTTTTTCTGGTTGTCGGGTAATATGTATACAATGAGTCTGATAACCGCCTTATGATACCATATTCAATAACTACCGTTGATCTCATCTTCACCATTCATTATGACACATGTCCATTAACTGCCATCGACTTATCTTTTTCTCCATTTTCCTCATGCCTATTATTAACCGTTAATTTGACTTTGTCCTCATTTCGGACACCTGTCCTTTCCTATGAGATAACCATCGTCAATTCTTTTTCCATCTTGACACCTGTCCTTCCCATGCGATAACCGTCGTCGATCTTTTTCCATCTTGACATACTTATCCTTCCCCATGTGATAACTGTCATCGATCTCTTTTTCGTCTTGACACATGTCCTTTCTTATGCGGTAACCGTCGTCGATCTCTTTCCATCCTGGCATACTTATCCTTCCCCATGCAATAACCGTCATCAATCTCTTTTCCATCTTGACACATGTCCTTCCCTATGCGATAACCGTCATTGATCTTGTTCTGTCTTGACATTTTTCCTTCCTTTTTTTCTCATTGACAACTTCGATGACTTCGGTCATTGATCTCTTTTCTTCTTGACACTTGTCTTTCCCCATGCAGTAATCGTCATCGATCCTTTTTCTGTCTTGACACTTCCTATTTTTCTCGTTGATAGCTTCGATGACCTTTGGTACAGAATCTCAAGTGGCGCTTGTCTTGACACTTTTCGTTCCTTTTTTTCTCATTGACAACTTCGATGACTTCGGTCATTGATCTCTTTTCTTCTTGACACTTGTCTTTCCCCATGCGGTAATCGTCATCGATCCTTTTTCTGTCTTGACACTTCCTATTTTTCTCGTTGTACAGAATCTCAAGTGGCGCTTGCTTCTTCTACGACTCCAAATTTCAAATTCTCAAATTTCCCACCAGGATATTCCAAACAGCCTTCATGAATGTCAACAGATGCAAAAACACCCGAAATTTTTTTGCGTCCCTGAACGACTCAGGGATCCCCTCTATTAAGAGTGTTAATGTCAAGCCACCAGTTCAATGTTCTTGGTGAAAAAGAGTCCAAATAAGCGAGTATTTTAAACAGTTCTTGTGCTAATGGAGCACTTTTAATGAATATATATAAAAATAGGACAACTTGGTCAAGTCCACCATATATCACAGTCGTTCGAAAATATTAGGTGAGTTTAACACTCCACGTAGGATTTGCAGAAAACCACCCACAAATTGACACGTGGCAATCGGGGCCCACATCTCAGGGAAAAAACTTGACTCTCTCCTCTCTCTCACGCGCTCTGCTCTCCATCTCTCTGCAACCCCACGCTCAACCCCTCTCTCTCTAACACCTTGGCTCATGCCCGATGCACGACCAGCTCTGCTCTTTCTAGTCGCCATCGCCTCCGATCCATCCGGCGACAACTTCCCGAGATATTCAAACTCCGGGGACTCCGGAATCGTGGTCAACGCGCCAGACTTGTCGTACCCAACGTAAAACCCGTAGTCCTCGCCGATGACGGGCGAGTACAGACCGGCGACGCCGAACGCCGGGGTAGAGCTCGTCTTCGGCTTGAAGACCGAACGCAGCAGCTTCTGGATCGACCACGAGATTCGGGAGTGCTTCTTCGCCGTCGTCGAGGTCGCCGGTTGCGGCCGCGGAGGAAGAGGGGGAAGGCGCGGTGGTCGGGGAGGTTAGGCATGGACAAGGTGCGGGCGGAGATGGCGGAGTCAAGCTTGAAATACTTTTTTTTTTCGCTAGAAAGCTGTAAGGACTTGAGTTCAAAGGAGAGATGAACTGAAGAAGGCTTGTCAGAACATGACCGAAGGTGTTAGAGAGAGAGAGGGGGTTGAGCGTGGGGTTGCAGAGAGATGGAGCAGAGCGCGTGAGAGAGAGGAGAGAGACAAGTTTTTTCCCTGACATGTGAGCCCTGATTGCCACGTGTCAATTTGTGGGTGGTTTTTTTGTAAATCCTACGTGGAGTGTTAAACTCACCCAATATTTTCTCGCGTTGGCACCCCGCGACAGGTTAGCATCAGTTTTGCTGACGTCAGGACAATACAACTATTGCATTACGACAGGCATGATTCACTTTTACACGACTATCATTCTATTCCACCATATATGTTCTCTACGATAAAAAATGTAAAAAAGGGAAGAAACAAGCCACCATAAAATTCTATTCCAACGGATAATGCAAAATGTAGAATCCATGCATGTTTTAAAACATGCAATCCCAGCATTTGGCTGCAAACTGTCATCACCTCGGAGATGATCAAAGCGACAGAGGGACTCTGCCAAACAGCTGAGAACCCAATGAGACGAGACTCAACCTCTAATCGAAGCAAAATGTCAAATATACTACCAAGTCCATCCAATCTGAGCAGGATCCCGAAGTAGTTGTCACTCCCGAAAAGTTCAGTATAGGTGACAAAAATTTCCCGATTAGAAATTGGTAAAGAACCACTGAAACAAAGAAAAGTGCAATCTGTCCAGTCGCCAGATCAATGTTCCAATCCAGGAATCTCTACCAGCAGAAAAGATCACACAGTTCACTTCTCTAAATTCTCTAAAGACATAGTTCGCTATTTAATCATGCATTGATTAAATAGCGATCCTCATTGACTTTCAAAAGAGAAGGCCATCCGGACATGACTATCATTTCAAGTATGCTACCGATGTAGCGCATTTTGCTGATTACACCGTTGTGATCACACCATTGAGGCAGCAAGATGGACCAGCATAGGCAGCATTTGGTTTGACCAAGTAAATTCCACCATATCACAGTCATTGGCTTAATCAGGACCTAAACCAACTCTGTTCTCGCAATAGACCACCCCAGATGCTGCAAATTCCGTGCCTTCAAAGGCAATAAATCAAACGAGACCGTTTGATAATTTTAATTAGAAGGAAAATGAACGATATTCCCCCTTGTACAGCGGTTGAAAAAAAGATGCATTTAGAACCATAAGTTAGGATATCTGGCAGACAAATCAACAACGTCCAAGGATCATGTTGCAAATGAGATCTTACATATAAATAGATTCAACAGATATGCTCGACGTGTAAAAATAAATTATGCATACGAATTATCACCATCCAAATATTGCAATCATACGAAATCAGAAGGAAAAGTAGAAACTTCCCGCTCGACTTTTCCAGTTGAAATGACGTAGAAGTTGGTCATCCGATCAAAATATGATAAGAATCAAAAGGGTAAATGGGAATGTTTTTCCAGTTGCAGCAAATAGGAAAGCTTACAAAAAGAAGACTTGAACCAAAATATATGGTCTGCTAGTACAGTTTCACTCAACTAAAAAACACACAAAATATGACAAACAGAAAGAAAAGGAAAAGGATCAAGAGCGCGATTCAGGAATGATGTCTCCTCTGAAGAGTACTCGGCAGAGGATTGTCAAGCAGAGAGCAACACAAGAGAGGAATTGCATGCACAGTCAAAGACGCAGCGCGAGACCGAAGGATGAGGACACAAGGGAGGGACAATTTCTAGGAAGGACACGGGCTTTAGATTTTCAATAGCAATGATCTGAAGTGAGCGTACACGTGGCATGGAAAGAACCAGGACAGTTCCTACATCGACCAAACTCTGACCTCGGCAAGAAAGAGAATTGGTTCTCGCATCAATCGGAAAATAACAAGACTTACACAAACTCCATTCAAACCATTAACTGCCTCGAAAAGCGGAGCTTACCTGATTGTCAGGGATCATCAACTCGACATCACAAAGATAACTCAACAGATCACCACTTCTCAAGCCCGGCAAGATCGCGACATGTAAAAGAATTGGAACTAGACCATGATCATATCCCAAAGATAAAAAGCCGGAGAACAAATTTCAATCAAAACCGATAAATACCCAGAAGGTTATCAAAATTTAGTCCATCGCCGGTCTAAGATGTGAGTTCATCATCTCTACCAACAAAAGACAGCAAAACAGATCCTCAGTCCTCCAAAAAGCCCAAACGCTTCGTTTTATGAAACAAACTGACCTGTGTCGCCATTCATCGCCCTTAGATAACATCCTCGGACAAGCTGTTCGCTCCAAGCGAAAAGAATCCACCGCGACTTCCCCAAACAACGAAGTCCAGAAGCAGGTCACAAAACTGAAAAAACGGGAAAAAAAAATCAACGTTCAGAGAAGGAGCTAAAACAAAGACATCCCCAAAAAGGAATAGGAGAAAGGCCAACTGCCAAGTCACCGAATAACCGAAAAATTCAGAACGATAACAACGCAAAGACCGATCGGAGAGAGAGAGAGAGAGAGAGAGAGAGAGAGAGAGAGAGAGAGAGAGAGAGAGAGAGAGAGAGAGAGAGAGAGAGAGAGAGCGTATGAGGAGCAGAGGAAGGAGGATGGGGTTTTATAGAGGAAGGGGAGCTCCCAACGGTCCTAACGGTCTCCCGCGACGGTCCCAACGGTCTCCCGACGGTCACATGGGCCTCCCAACGGTCTCCCAACGGTCACATGAGCGTATGAGGAGCAGAGGAAGGAGGGTGGGGTTTTACAGAGGAAGGGGAGCTCCCAACGGTCCTAACGGTCTCCCGTCCCGCAACGGTCCCAACGGTCTCCCGACGGTCACATGGGCCTCCCAACGGTCATATTTTTAATAAGGATTATTCTTTATTTCGAAATAGAGCCGTTACCTCTAACAGATTACGTTAGAAAATTTAATAACAAACTATAGCTCTAATTAACATTGCTTTTTCGTGTGGAATTAGTTGCCTCTTTCTAATATATTATTATATAGCATGAAATTAAAGAGTTGGTAATAATTTTACTTATTATGTTGTTGCGACATAAATTTGTTGGTATACCCGATATTAAAGTGTACTTTAAATTTAAATGAGTAAAAATTATTATGTTGATTAGGAACCTTTCTTATCATATATAACATTTAATGTCGGCTGAAAAAATAATTCATCATGAAAAAGGCGAATTTTTCAAATTCTTTGTTATTATTTTAAGATATTAAAATTTTCAAAAAAAAAGAAAACTTTTGCCGTTTTAAAGTGCCCTTAATTTTGACGCACAAGTGCTAGGAAAAAGTTTTGCCATTTCCTTGTCACTCTTCACAAGCACACACCCTACTTGACACGTGTGAATTCTGGCTCAAACCTTGTCCTATCTTTTTGACCTATGAGACTCACAAGATATAAACAAATATGTCGAACCAAGCTGACATGAATCGATGTGTTTAAGAAATTTTCTTTTTCACTTTTCTTTTTTCATCGCTAGAAGAAAGAAAAGCACGAGCATAAGCCATAGACGACGAGTTTTTTTTCCAAAAAGGGGTGACATGGCAGTTATGGTCCATGTCAAAATCGAAATGACGAGGGAAATCATGTCTATAAAGTGAGAATTTGTTAAGCAGCACGAATTCTCAAGAGAGAAATGGAGGTCAAATTGAGAGGACGAGGCTTCTAATTTATGGATGCGTTTGTTTCATGAAAAATAATTTTTTAAAATTGATTGATTGTATTGTATTGCTTATAAAAATGAATCAACGTAAAATAATTTCATCGTCCATAAAAATGTTTGAATATTTTAATAATGGGAATACTTTTTAGTAATTAATTATTTCAAGAAATAAAAAAGTGATTATTTTTAAGAAAATATTTTTTAATTTATTTATTTTTTACTAAACAAACGAAATATATATTATTTATTTTTTTAATATGATCGAGGCAAATGGTCCGTGGACCGTCCTAGTCGCTGTGTCAGTGACAGTGGCCGTGGCCGTTGGCCTAACCACATTTTAAAAAATTGGCGGTTTTGGTCGTTTCCAATGTCCTCTTCGCCGCTCAACATGGTAGCGACCAACTCCGGTGAAGCCCCCGTCCGACCAGAGCCCAGGTACGACCGCGAGAGCAAATTGAAAGCCTTCGACGCCTCGAGGACTGGCATGAAGGGCCTCGTCGACTCCGGAGTCTCCAAGCTCCCTCGTATCTTCGTCGGTGATCGCCGGCCCCAATCGCCCAACCGCTCCTATCCCGCCGACACGAGCTTCGGCATCCTGGTCGTGGACTTGGAAGGCGTCCATGAAGATCCCGGCAAGCGCGGGGAGATGATCCGCAGAGTTGGCCAGGCGTGCGAGGACTGGGGCTTCTTCCAAGTGGTGAATCATGGGATCGGAGATGGCGTCCTGAGTGGAATCCTCGACGGCGTGAGAAGGTTTCACCAGCAGGAGAGCAAGGCGAAGATGGAGTTGTACTCTAGAGATCTGTCGAAGAAGGTGCTTTTTAACACCAACTTCGATTTCTACAGCGCACCCGTCGCGAATTGGAGAGATTCGCTGTACTGTGCCCTGGCTCCTCACCCGCCGAGTCCGGAAGAGCTTCCTCAAGTTTGCAGGTAACCTGTTTGCGAAAATGCTAGTGCCCCGAATTTCGACAATGGTTCTAGTTTTCACCGTCGGAGTTCCCATCAGGAGGCTAGAGCGTAGGGTGATGTCTTTCTTGCTGGAATTAGTAACTTCATTTTGAAGAAGTTTGTTTTGCCATCTGTATAATTCTCACTGAATTCGAATAGGTCATTTCATCAACTATTCTAGCCCAGGAAAAAGAGAGAGAGAAGATGACGCAGCACAGTTAAGTTTCCTCTATTTTCAACTTGTTCTACTACTGACTTAGACCATGAGTTTGTCTCCAACTTGTAATCATGAGCAGTTCTATTGTCAAAGTGCTTTTTATGCTGATTGAAAAACTAGACCAGGTCGTTCTGTTTATCCAAGGATCATTTTGAGCTCCAGACTGGTTGATATTATTAAACCGGAGTCTGTCAAAACCGGGTTGACCTGGTTACCGGCTGTTTTAGCACGAGAATGTTAGTTTCATGAAAATTACTGCTGCACCTTTTGGTCAAACCCACCCCATGAGCAAGTGATTGCCTGCAGCAAGCCGCTCGGCTTTGGCTTCTGTAGGTACATGTCAATGAAATTGAGACCTCAAGAACTCAAATTTTGGACTGAATGAGCGCCCTTTACCATATTGGCAGACGCATCCACTATCTTGGGCAAAGCTAATATGGGAATAGGAGCTTTTATTTGGTTATTACTTATGTTGGTGCTCCTAGCCAAGCTAATGGAATCAAGAGTAAGTAATTTTAGTGTAGTGTCCACGGACCAATTGAGAACAGTGCTTCAGTTCATACACACAAAGTTGTTCATGATTGTAAGATATAGTACTAATTTTCCACGTGCTCTGCTTGCAGAGATGTAATAATGGAATATTCAAATCCACTGAGGAGACTGGGGCTTACCATCTTCGAACTGCTATCAGAAGCTCTGGGACTGAATCCCAAGCATCTTGAAGACTTGGGCTGTGCTGATGGACTGTACTTCGTCGGACACTATTATCCAATATGTCCTGAGCCAGACTTGACTCAAGGTCTAAGCAAGCACACGGATAGCGCCTTCCTCGGGGTGGTATTGCAAGACCAAACCGGTGGCCTACAACCATGAAAATCACTGGGTAGATGTTAGCCCCATTCATGGTGCTCTCATGGTGAACCTGGGTGACATGTCACAGGTAAGCTGGTTTGACTTGGTTCTTCAGTTAATGGACTTCCGATGTTTGATTGCTTGCATATACTCGTTCCAATATTCCAGCATGAAGAGACTTCTAGGCAATAAGAACCTCAACTCCCTTGGGTTCAATTCCCTTTTTTATTGCATATGATGACCTGCGATAATCCGCTATAGTTTGGCCTTTCACATCTACGAAATCTGCTGGACCATGTTATCCAAGAACTGATTATGGATTGACAGATATTTCCAAAGACACTTAAGAAATACTTGAATTGTTCAATGCATGTGCCAATGTCATGTTTCATAAAATTTTCTGAAGTGTGACAATTGTAGGAGTAAGAGGACTTCGGGGTTTGCTTGAAGAGTGGTTGTAGAAGTATTTCTTCTGAAAGCATATGGAAACCATAGTATGGACAATGGAGGTCCAAAAAATGTTCTCTCCCTTCAAAAATTGGTTTTTATGCTGAAGGAGGCATGCGGGCGTGAGATATGCTAGAAAACTATCTATTTCTTCATATTTTTCTGACAAAAATAAACTTTCTGTTGGCTGCTTGAAATTAAGTTTGAGGTCAACATTGGTCTTTTTGATGATGTGGGCATGCTGGTATCATACAACTTGCTTATTCTCAGGCCATTTTGGTTTGGCAATTTTGTCACTTACTGGATCAGAATATCCAAGCTCATTTTACTGATAAGTAGGGTTTCAAATCTACGACGAAAGATGCTGGTACTAATTCATTCTTCTTAATGGCTTGAGTGATGAAGAATATGACTCCCGTGACTCATTATCGCAAGCTATTAGTATTGTTCTTGAAAGTGCAGTAAACTATTTGTATTTGTGCATCTGACATTCTTTGAGAGAGAAGATTGGTTAGCTAATAGATTTGGCTATCTTTTGTGCAGCCAATCACCAATGGTAAGTTTAAAAGCGTCTACCACAGAGTATTGGCAAAGAGCGTAGGACCGAGAGTCTCGGTGGCCTGTTTCTTCAGAACACATCTTGAACAAGAGGATTCCCCTAGAAAATGTGGGCCAATTAAGGAGTTGTTATCAGAACAAAACCCTCCAGTCTATCGGAAACGTCTGTGGAAGACATTCTCAAATATTTACTCTCTAAAGGTCTTGATGGGGTTCCTGTATTAGATCATTTAAAGTTGTGAAGAGTAGTCTATTTCATACACACAAATTTTCTTCATTAATGTATGATACAATGTCCATTTTCCGCACTATTTGCTTAGACATTGTTCAAGCGGAGTGATCGCCAGTGCTTCCGCTCGCTCAGAGTATTCCGTTATCGCATCCCGAGATAGGTCGTGGGTACCAAAAATTTGAGAATTGGTTGGATACGATGAGACCTACTCTATTTCAGTCCAAGGAGTCGGAGAGGCCTTTCATGCCTGATTTCGATTCGTCAAAGTCTCTGAGCTCTTGGTAGCAGCCATAGGTCGATGGAGTGATGTCAGTTGAATCATCGGCGACCTCCATTTTCACACCTTGCTTTGGTCAGTTATTGAGCAAGATGGACAAGTTACAAGTGATATACAGGTTGATGGTCCAATGAGTGACTCAACAAAGGGTGTGTAGGGTCTCTTGTTGGTTTTGGACGGATAACTAAATGATATGAAATTTAAAGTACGAACACTTGGGAATAATCGTTGCCGGCGATATATATTGCAAGGAAGTAGAGAAAAAGATAAATTTACAAAACGATCTACAATCAATGGTTACAATTTGTTACTGAGAAATAAAACATGCCATGTGTAGCTCTTCCTATTTAGCGGCACGTATCCACAAATGGCTACATCCGAAATTGTTGACCCAACTATTTGACGGTTACATTAACTCTATTACTTTGATGGCTATATGTTGATGTCAATGGCCTTGTCAATTGGCTAAGGCTCTCATAAATAACTTGTTATGCCTGTTATCGATGATTTTATTACCAAGTTGTCGATTCTCTTGAAGTTGTTGACTATTCTATTCATGACTTTTGTTTTCACCATACACAACTCTTGTAAATTGAATGGTCGATGAACCACTCGATCCTTAAAAGTCATTATATGCCCTCTTATCATTCACAAATTTGATTTTTCCCTCCTGAGTTGCTAGGGGTGATCGGTTCCCAGTTCCGAAGTTTGAGAACCATAAACCGGACCGGTTGGTCCTAGGACCAAAAACCAGATAGGACCAATTCAATGGAATCGGTCACTTTTTTTATTTTTTTCCCACCACAACGAGATATAGTGACAAATCTTAACATATTTACAGAAGAGTCATTGTAATGCAACAATAAAGAGAAAGCATTGTATGAGAGTTTAGTTCACATTTTACTAATTTTTTTTTAAAAAAAAATGTATATGTAGTCGGTCCGGTTCCCCCTTGGAACCGAAAACCGGATCAACATTCCGAGAAATCGGACCAAACCGGCTGATCTAGTTCGGTCCGGGTGGTTCTCGATCTGGGCGATGCTCAGTCGGGGAGATCCGTTTGGCACACCCCTACGAGTTGCCAAATAATTCACTTCATAATACTATGGCTCCGTGAACGGTGCCACTCGCAATATTTTTTTGTTTACTAAAATCTTTCTTTACTTTGACTTACACGACCTTCTTCCACATGCACCATTACAGTTACACACAGAAACCTTCGCCGCTCAGCATGGTAGCGACCGACTCCGGCGAAGCCCCCGTCCGAGCAGATCCCAGCTACGACCGCGAGAGCGAACTGAAGGCCTTCGACGCCTCGAGGACCGGCGTGAAAGGCCTCGTCGACGCCGGCGTCTCCAAGCTCCCCTGCATCTTCGTCGATGATCGCCGGCCCCGGTCGCCCGGCCGCTCTGATCCCGCCGGGACGAGCTCCGGCATCCCGATCGTGGACTTGGAAGGAGCTCACGAAGATCCCGGCAAGCGCGGGGAGATGATCCGCAGAGTCGGCCGGGCGTGCGAGGACTGGGGATTCTTCCAGGTGGTGAATCACGGGATCGGAGATGGCGTCCTGAGCGGTATCATCGACGGCGTCAGGAGGTTTCACGAGCAGGAGAGCGAGGTGAAGATGGAGCTGTATTCTAGAGATCAGTCGAAGATGGTGCTTTTCAACACCAACTTCGATTTCTACAGAGCACCGGTCGCGAATTGGAGGGATTCGCTGTACTGTGCTGTGGCTCCTCACCCGCCGAGTCCGGAAGAGCTTCCTCGGGTTTGCAGGTAAACCTGTTCGCGAAAATGCCAGTGCTCCATATTGCGACTATCAATATGATCAAGTCATACGTACAAAGTTATTCGTGTGTGTAAGATGTTTGATCAATTTTCCACGGCGCTCTGCTTGCAGAGATGTAATAATGGAATATTCAAATCAACTAATGAGACTGGGCCTTACCATCTTCGAACTGCTATCAGAAGCTCTGGGACTGAATCCCAAGCATCTTGAAGACATGGGCTGTGCCGAAGGGCTGTACTTCATTGGACACTACTATCCAACATGTCCTGAGCCAGACTTGACTCAAGGTCTAAGCAAGCACACCGATAGCGCCTTCCTCACGGTGGTGTTGCAAGACCAAACTGGTGGCCTTCGAGTCCTCCATGAAAATCACTGGGTAGATGTCGACCCCATTCATGGTGCGCTCGTGGTGAACCTGGGTGACATGTTACAGGTAAGCTGGTTCGGCATGGTTCTTTACTTAATGGACTTCCTGTGTTTGATTGTTTGCATATATTCCTTCTAATATTTCAGCATGATGCGACTGCTCAGCAACAAGAACTCAACTCCCTCGTGATCAATTCCCTTTTTGTTGCATTCGATGACCTGCGATAAACCGCTATCTTTGGGCCTTCACGTTTATGAGATTTATTTGGACTATGTTATCCAAGAACTGAATATGGATTGATTGATATTTCCAAAAACACCTGAGAAATACTGGAATAGTTCACTGCTTGTGCCAATCATGGCATTTATCGTGTTTCATAAAATTTTCTGATGTGTAACAATGGTAGGAGTAAGAGGACTTTGTGCTTTGTGTGAAGAGTGGTTTAGAAGTATTTCTTCCGAAAGATATGGATAATGGAGGTCCCAAAAATGTTCTCTCCCTTCAAAAAATTGGTTTTTCTGCTGAAGGAAGCATGCCGATGTGAGATATGCTAGAAAACAGTCCATTCTTCACTTTTTTTCTGATAAAAGAATTTTTCTGTTGCCTGCTTGAAAGTAAGTTTTGAGTTCAACATTGGTCTTTTCAATGATGTGGGCATACTGGTATTGTACAGCTTGCTTGTGCTTGTCAGAGTAGGGAATGTTCAGGCAATTTTGTCACTTACTGGATCAGTATATCCAAGCTCAAGTTCCTGATAACTAGTAGGGTTTCAAATCCGTGACAAAAGGTGATTGTACTAATGCAATCTTCTTAATGGCTTGAATGATGAAGATATATCATTAGCTTGACTCATTAGTGCAAGTTACTAGTATTGTTCTTGAAAGTGCAATCTTCAGTAAACTATCTGTATCTGTGCATTTGAAATTCTTAGAGAGAGAAGATTGATTAGCTCATAGATTTGGCTGTCTTTTGTGCAGCTAATCACTAATGGTAAGTTCAAAAGCGTCTATCACAGAGTATTGGCAAAGAACGTAGGACAGAGAATCTCGGTTGCCTGCTTCTTTAGAACACATTTTGGGCAAGAGGGTTCTCCCAGAAAGTACGGGCCAATTAAGGAGTTGTTATTGGAACAGAACCCTCCAGTCTATCGAGAAACGTCTGTGAAAGACCATGTCAAATACGTATACTCAAAAGGTCTTGACGGGGTTCCTGCAATAGATCATTTAAAGTTGTGAAGAGGAATTGATTTGAAGTTAGTTCCTGTGCAGAATGGCATGGATGACAAAAATTAGACCATATGCCCAAGCTATGGTTTTCTTTAGTGCCAGATGTCTTTTAATTGCAGCTTAGAGAGAGCTGCTGAACTTGTATCCAGTAAATACTGTTCACCGCTCCCAACTTCGCGACTGTCACTATTACCATATGTTTGGCAGGTGATGATCAGGGTGGCGGCGGCGGCAGCATTAGTGGAGAAGGGTGGGGTTAAAAATAATATTTTCTTGTAGGATTTGATAAATGTTTGATCTAGGGGTATAATCAAGTCGATACAAAGTCAATACGAGCATCGAACTTGACTCAAATAATCAAGGCTGGATACTTGGCTCGAGCTAAATCGAGCTTGATTATTCGAAACTAGAACAGAGTTTCGGCAAAGTGGAGCTTCATTATTCCAACAGTTTAATTGTGTGTTAGAGACGCTAGCTAAAGTGCTTGCCTAAGTTGGTGTTGAGGTCTAACAGACGGATGGTAGAATATCGTGTTTAGAACTGTGGAACTTCCAGTTGCTCTTGCAACATTAAATGAGCCAAGTCAGTTCTGTCAATTGATTTTTCCATGGAAGTGTGTCATTGGCGAGCTTTGTTTTCATGGTATGGACTATTAATTGTCCTAAGTGTCAAAAAAACGGTCAGACTAATTTACATGCCCAAATCATAAGGAAGACCACTCTTTTGAAATCGATCTGGTGGCGCTTGATCTTCTAGCTTCACATCTGTGGCCGTGTGACCGATGATACTGGGCAACAGGCAAAGTTGCCGCACAGCATCGCACAGTTGAATCAAAGTAATTTAATATCGACTGCTCGGTGCCATTAACAATCTAAACGTCGATAACGTTTCATGTCGACCGGTAGTTTGGGGCTGATAAAATTGCCATTCAATCCTTCTTTGCGAATTGCTGTTGTAACGAAAGCTGCTCCAATCTCCAGAATTAGTGTTTCGGCAAGAATTGAAGAGACTGAAAAAAGAAGCGGTTAAGAATGGTGGTCAGCGTGGGACTCCAATAATTGTGCCAACGCTATGGAAGTAACGACGTATGACGATGGAATAAAAGATTGAGATAGAAACTTTAATAATACGAGTGTGTGGGACATTCTTTTTTACTCGCAAGATTTGAAAATAAAATATTGAAGAGTAAAATTGGAAGTTAATGAAGTAGAGACTCCCGCTTTGGAGTTTACAGGTTTAGGAGGAAATGATATAATTTATTTTCTCCCAGTGATGATCGCCGCGTCAATGACCGTGACCGTTGGGCTAACCACATTTTAAAAAAATGGCGGTCTCCGTCGTCGTCTCCAACGTCCTCTGCGCTCCTGTGCATCCAAATCCCTTCCATTCCACCACCTCCTATAACCGAAAACCGAGCTCTCACAGAACTTTTGCCGATCAACATGGCAGCGAGCAACTCCGGCGAAGCCCCCATCCAAGCAGAGCCCGAATACAATCGCGAGAGTGAATTGAAAGCCTTTGACGCCTCAAGGACCGGCGTGAAAGGCCTCGTCGATGCTGGCATCTCCAAGCTCCCCCGTATCTTCGCCGATCGCCGGCCTCGGTCGCCAGGCTGCTCCGATCCTGCCGGGACAAGCTTCAGCATCCCGATCGTGGACTTGGAAGGAGTTCATGAAGATCCCAGCAAGCACAGGGAGATAGTCCGCAGAGTTGGCCAGGCGTGCGAGGACTGGGGCTTCTTCCAGGTGGTGAATCATGGGGTCGGAGATGGCGTCCTGAGCGGAATCATCGACGGTGTCAAGAGGTTTCACGAGCAGGATAGCGAGGTGAAGTAGGAGTTGTATTCTAGAGATCAGTCGAAGAAGGTGATTTTTAACACCAACTTCGATTTCTACAGTGCACCAGTCGCGAATTGGAGGGATTCGCTGCACTGTGCTCTGGCTCCTCACCCGCCGACTCCGGAAGAGCTTCCTCGAGTTTGCAGGTAGCCTGTTCTACTGCTAACTTAGTGGATGAGTTTGTCTCAACTTGAATCATGAGCAATTCTACTACCAAAGTGCTTCTTATACTGATTTAAAAACTAGACCAGGTAGTTCTGTTTCTCTGGTTGATACCATCAAACCGGAGTCTGTCAAAACCAGGATTGACCTGGTTGCCACCCATTTTAGCTGCAGCATGTCAGTTTCATAAAGAAACAAAAGAAATTGAACTTTACCTGCTCCGCCTGTTGGTCTACCAGCCCAGGAGCAAGTGATTGCCTGCAGCAAGGCACTCGGTTGGGGCTTTTGTAGCTTCATGTTATTGAAATCGAGACCTCTAGAACTCAAACTTGCGACTGATGAGTGCCCTTTACCATTTTGGCAAAAAGTATCCTCTATCTTGGGCGAAGCTCATGTGGGAGTGGGAGCTTTTCACGGTTATTACTTATGTTGGGGCTTCTAGAAATTACATAGTGTTCGAGATTATTCTCGAGTTCGTATTTACAGGTCGGTTGCAATCCAACCTGGATGAGTTGAACTCAAGTTGGAAAGTTAATACTCGATCAAGTTCGAGTCAAGTTTCGAGCACAATTATGTTAGTCAATTCAAACTATAGGTCGACCACGTATTATCTTGATTATATCGCTAGTACAAATAAATAAATAAATAAATCTTTAGAATTACATAGAACTTGAGATATATTAAGTGCGAACTTAAATTTCATTTATAAGTTGACAGTAAACATCGAGCTTAAATATCTTGATTTTTCGGTCGAGTCGAGCTCATGCGGGAAAGTCAATGCTCGATCAAGTCTGAATTGAATTTTGAGCACCGAACATGAGAGTTAGGTCGAGACTGAGTTTGGCAATGCATCGGCTTGACTCGGAGTTGTGTCATCCTGGAATTTCATGGCCAAAGATTAAAGGACCCTAATGGATTAGGGCGCTCGTCGACGGAAATTAGGAAAATGAAATTGGAAGTTTAGCTTTGCGATTATCGTTTTTTTTTTGGAATTGCGAGTTTGGATTCTTGGGAACAATTACCGTCGAGCCGACTAACGCGACATCGCGTCGTCTGCGCGACCCAACTCCGTGTCAAACCCGTCGCAATTATTTTTATTCCCACTTTTTTCCCCTTGCTCACGGACGGCCCCCTCTTTTCCTCTTTTCCTCTTTTTCCTCTTTTTCCTTCCATTTCTTCCCTTTTCTTTTTTCTTTCCCCTTTTTCCCGCCAGAAACCCCACGCAGCAGTAGCCCCTTCATTTCTCTTCTTTGTCTTGTTCTTCCCCCTCTACATTTGACAAGAGGGAGGTGCCAAGTGTCACCCATGCATGCCCATGCATGCAAGGGAAGTTGCAGTTGCAGGGCCATCAGATAATTTTTTCCCCCACTGTTCACTCTCATCAAGCTCTCTCTCGCCCAGCTCACTCCCTCTCTTGTTTCTCTTTCTATCTGCCCGGGAGCCTGCCTGTTCGAGGACCAGCAGCTGCTGCTCCTTGTTCCGTCCGCAACCAGCAACAGCAGCCAGCCCCTCGCCTTGCCGCCGTGCCGTTCTCCCCGCCTCGGACACAAGCCCCACGCCGCAGCCACTACTCTCACCAGCAAGGCAAGTAATCTCTATGATGTTATACTAACCTCGATAATGTCGGTTTGGGTCTTGGATGAGCCCTTGAGGTGGCTGAAAGGGCGAAAGAAGAGGGCGATATGTGGCGTAGTTGCTGGTCATACTACGACCCACCAAGCTTAGCAAAAAACGAACAAGCTATCACCCATCCCTACACGACTCTATCCTCAAAAACTAACTGACAGTCGTGTTTTCAAAAAACTACTCCTTCCTCCTCCTCGATGCTGTCCTCAAAAGACCCCGCTGCTAGCGTCGCCATCATCTCCGTCTAGCCCATGGTATGGAAGGGGCCCCACCAACCGTCCCCCATCGAGGGCATAAATCCCGACGAAGCCCAAAAGAACGAGTCCCTCTGGGGACCCAATATTTACGATCATAATGAAAATGCATTTTATGAAAACAAGTTCAGGGAACTCCGAGATCACAAATTCAAATAGATGGCTCTCAAAATCAACTGGCACCCCGTAGCTTATCGAGGTAGAGGTAGGGAGGATCGGCATACTATTAATCTAAAAAGGTGTCAACAACAAACGGTGAGCTGAAACTCAGCCAAGTAAACTCTATCACGCCATACTAAACAGATAACAATATGCATCTCAATAAAGTCAAATCGATAAGCAAATAAACCAATTCACATCTAGCCATGGCATACATGATTTCCTTTTTCATTCTCATTCTCACTCAGCCACCGTTATCAGGCAAAAGAACGTCGATCCAAGAACAGCCATTCACACGAGCACACATTGCATACGTTATGTGATCACAAGCAGTTTTAATTTGCATTTGATTTAGTAACCCAAGCTACAACAACCTCCGGGGAACCTAGTTGCCCCCCGAGCATCTCGCATCCATCACGGCATCACGAGGACATCTGGGGAACCGTGTTACACCCCCAGGCAACCGAGGGAACCCCGTTACCCCCTCAGGCATCTCGCACCTACCACGGTGTCGCGAGGACATCTAGGGAACCGTGTTACACCCCCAAGCATCCGAGGGAACCCAGTTACCCCCTCAGGCATCCCAACTCCGGGGCATCGTCGTCATGGGGACCGACGGAACAATTACACTTACAAGCCCTCACGTTTCAATATATACAGTACATCAAATTTAGAGATGTCATTTACAATTTCTAATGCAAGGAAAACATCTCATCAACAAGTTCAGAGCCTGTACATTACATCTCCCGAAGACATCAAATCAATATTCCAAGGCTTCCAACTAAGAAATAATGAGACTTTGGATTCTGGCAAAACTGGACAGTTTTGCATGACTTGAGAAATCAATTTCAAAGGCATAGCAAATGAGTTCCAAAAATTCTGAAATTTGAACATGTTATAAACAAGACCTTAACACTTATTTTTCCTAGAAAGCACAATCCCAAAATCCTCCTGGAAGGGGAACTTTTGAGGGCACGAAAACAGACCAGAACTGGTCCGTCGAAACAGTGACACCGAGTTACAAAGAATGCTCTTTTCATATATCAAATTCTGTCTAAACACCTTGAAATTTTTATATGTTATACAAAAGGGGACTATGAACAAATTTTGTGAAGGAAGTGTGACCAAATTCGAAGTGGGTATTTTTATAAAAATTCGAGAATGTATAGAGATCGCGGCTTCCACGGTAAAAACTAGGGGTGTGCAAAAACCCGGGACCGCCCAGGGACCGCCAGACCGCCAGGACCGGACCGGAACCGGTGGTTCCCAAGGGGACAGTCCGGTTCCCGGTTCCAATTTTTTGGAACCGGTGGGTATCGGTCCGGTTCCCGGTTCCCGGTGTGGAACCGCCACCCGCCCACCCGGACCGGACCGGTAATATAATAATAATATATTTATTTTTTAAAATTTTAATTAAAAAATCTGACCAAAAAAAAAAAAAACGTAACTAGACACTCATAACTCTCTCTGCTCTCTTATCTCTAGACACTCATTTGATGGGTACCCACTTGATTTATGGATGATGTGGTTAATAGAACCGATCATAGTATAGGAATTGTATGGAAAGTTATGTTCTTTTCTTTTGTTCCATTGATCCGATGTTGGTCCACATATTTTTTTATTTGTCAAGGAAAACTTGGTGGGACCGGTTCCATGGACCCGCCCGGAACCGGACCGGACGGCGGTCCGGTTCCCGGCGGGTCCATGGAACCGACGGCAGCGTCCTCGGTCCCAAAATTGAGGACCAACACTGTGCGGGTTGGTCCTAGGGTTAGGGGGTGGACCGGCCCAACCCGGACCATGCTCACCCCTAGTAAAAACAGTTCTGACCCGGTAAGGAATTGGGCCTTCGTAAAATCCATTTGAACTCAGAAAAATATGAAATTTAAGTATGTTATACATCAAGATCTTATGAACAACTTTTATGAAGAACACTTCGCGAGATTCGGTCCACACAAGGCGGTACAAAAATAGAAAACCGGGAACGTCCAGAAAGGTCCGATCTGGAATCCGTGACACAACTTCCAGAAACGTTTTTCCAACTTCAGATCCGCCACTTCCCAGCCAAGAAAACATCAAACCAAAAGTCCAAAACAACATGCAACATCATTTCCAACTTAATCTAGCCATCTAGATCCACCAAAAATCGTTCTAGGGGTTTGAATACACAAGACCAACAACTACGCCACATATCGCCCTCTCCTTTCGCCCTTTCAGCCACCTCAAGGGCTCATCCAAGACCCAAACCGACATGCAACCATTATCGATGTTAGTATAACATCATAGAGATTACTTGCCTTGCTGGTGAGAGTAGTGTCCGAGGCGAGGGGCTTGTGTCCGAGGCGAGGGGCTGGCTGCTGCTGCTGGTTGCGGACGGAACAGGAAGCAGCAGCTGCTGGTCGTCGAACAGGCGGACTCCCGGGCGGACAGAGAGAGAAACAAGAGAGGGAGTGAGCTGGGCGAGAGAGAGCTGAGCGAGAGAGAACTGGGAGAGTGAGAGCTAGGAGAGTGAGCTGTGGGGGAAAAAGCTGAGCGAGAGAGAGCTGGTGAGAGTGAACTGTGGGAGAAAATTTATCTAATGGCCCTTTAACTTCCCTTGCATGCATGGGCATGCATGGGTGACACTTGGCACCTCCTCTTGCCAGATGTAGAGGGGGAAGAAGTGTTGAAAATATGGGATAAATTGATGGGTGAATGAATGAGAAATTGATGCTCAAAGAACACCCTTGAGTTGGAAGTGGGAAGTGGAAAATCACTATTCCCACATCGGAAATGAAAGAAGACTATGAAACTGTG